CTTTTAAAGAGCTCTCATCTAGAACAGCATGGGGTCATTTTCCAAGAGCTGCGCAGGATAGGGACCGGCATCTGTGAGGACATGTCTTCTCCCATTATGACAGATATGGGCGTCGTTCTTACAGAGGAGGAAAGGCTTGGCAAAGTCAAGGTTTTGCCCACTGTCACAGGCTAAGAGGTGGAGCCAGAATGGTTTGACCCCAATGTCCAAACCCTTTCCTCCCACTTGTGGTCCCCCAAGGCTCAGGCTTTTCTGGCTGAACAAGATGGAAGAGTGTCCACCATTTTTCTAAACCAGAAACAGGTGGGTACAAGCCGTTCATCCCTGGAAATGTTGGGGTGTTTCCTTAGAAAGCTGGGCATCAGACAAGGCTGTGAACCCTCCCCAACCGAACGTATCCAGCAGGTGGTCTCAGTCAAAGCAGCTGGCAAAGGCGACCGGTGCAGGCTCTTTTCCAGCCCAATCACTGAGAGAGAAATCACCCCGGTGTCCCCAGTGGCGGAGGAAGGAGGACAGTGCACCATATCCAGGCTGGCAGTGCCTGCCTGCTCTGTCCACTCTCCACCCGGATGGGCAGATTTGTCTGGAAGCAGAGGGCTACCCAACGTCTCAGCCCCAACAGGCTCCTCAGCCTGTCCCCCCGACCCCGCCCTGGCAAAGGTGCCAGTGTCTGCTCGGCTTGAGTTTGGAAACCTGCCGCCCCTGCACAGCAGGGGTAGCAGGGCGGTGAGGGGCAGGGCCCGTGTGGGGTTGGAGCCAGCAAAGGGCCTGCTCAACTCTCTGGCCTGTTCCCCAAATCACCTGGAGACATCCACCCTGTGGAAGCCTCTGAAGAGCCACACGAGCCCCAGCTGCAGCCGAGGAGCTGTTTCTGGGGTACAGCACACGTGGTGTCAAGCTCCCACGGGGCAGGAGCCTCACTCAGCCGCCAGCCACACCCCCTGAATGGCCCTTTGTGGCTCAGAGTCCCAAAGCCAGGACTGCAGGGGAGAAGCACCAGAATCCTTCAGGCTCACGATAAACTTGTAACTGCCGTCCAGCCCCAGCCCCACAGGTAAGCCGGCCTCACATGGGCCGATGGAAGTGTGACCAATCACATGCACGCCAGAGAACCACCAAACTGCCGGCATGGTCAGACTCCTGGGGGCACAAGCGGTCCTCAGTGCCAGCACGTGGGCCCAGTCCAGGAGACCCAGGCCACGCTGGGTGATCCTGATCTCAGCTTTGCACTTGGCACGTGCCTGTCCTGGTGCCCCTATGCCTTTAGGAAACAATGAGAGACTTTTGGCCTCAACTCAGGCAAGAGAGCTTCTACCCAACAGCATGGCCTCCCCTGACCCTTCCTCACTTTTCCCCCAGTGGGGAACACGGAGACACTTCCCTGCCACACACAGAGCCCCCTCTCCTGCTCAAGGTCTGGCTCCCTGCAGCACCAGCTCCCTGTGGAAGGCTCCTCTCGGCTGGCCTCTGACCCCTGGCCTGCACTATCTGTTCTCATAAGCGTGGACCTGGAGGCCTGAAGGGGTGGCTGCTCCACATGGCAGAACAACTCAATAGCCCTCCCTCTACGGCTCCCTCGGGGCTATGCCTGAGGGCGGTTACAAGGAGGTCCTCCAAGTCCAAACCAAAGCTTCCTGGGGATCCCTCTCCTGCTGGACCAGAACGCCATCACCTAGCAGCAAGGCTGGAACACAAGAAGCTATGAGGCCCGCTGGCCTCCTACACAGACCAGTGATCTGAAAACAAGAGTGAGATCACAACTTCTAAAAGCCATACATATGAGGTCAACGGGTGTGGTGGAAACTGCAGATGTGGGTACTCGTTCCAGTAGGTCAACAACCCTAAGCTGCATGAGACCCCCTACAAGTCCAGATCATTCTCTGGACCTCAGTTCCCCCGCCAGGACTCAAAAGTGCTTTCAAATCTGTCTTCTCATCTGGGGGACAGAATCCCTGGGCATCTGGGACCACTTGGGAGCTGTGGGTACCACAGGCTTCAGGAAGTGGCTGGTGACAGCTGTGTTTGGTGAGGCCCTCACTACCTCCTGGAACAGAATGTGGAAGCTCAAGTCACCAAGGAGTGCAGCTGTGCATCTTCCTGGAAGGACGGGACAGGGAGGGGACTTCACGAGCGGGGGAGCCTAAAAGGACCAGACACTGCACAGAGCATCTGGGCGGGGCTTCAGCCCACTCCTCAGCCCGTGGTGCAGGCCCTCTCCCTGTGGCTTGGCAGGGGCAATACATCCTCCAAAGGGGTGTCAAAGAACTTCTTCCTGGAGCTGAGCCACTCTGGCCCGACAGCATGTCACAAACCCTCATAGGTCAGGGACATTTTCGGAGCACACTGGCTCCCAGTGACAACACAGGCCCAACTTCCACAGACTTGTCCCCTCGGGGAGAGCAAAGCCGCCCCCGCTCCCGGCCCAGATGTCCGCCCACACTAGGTATCTGGTCCAGCTGGCGGACTGATTTTAACAACTGCCCGTATCAAGGCTGCTCAACCGTACTCTCCTTCCTTAGGAAGCCACCCTTAGCTGACTTTGAATCGCCCCAAACCCAGGGGCAGAGTCAGACCCAACAAGGAGACACAGCAAACCCTGGCAGACTGGGGCACAGAGGGGGGGCTCGGTTTTGCAGCTCCCCTCACACACACACACCACGTACTTGCCCTCCGACATCAGCCCAGAGACCAGACTCTTCAAGACTCTGTGCCCAAAAGAAAGCGCCCTGGAGGCAGAGAGGGCAAAGGAAGTGGGCCAGGTCTGCCCACGTGGCCCGCTGGAGAACCCAGCACTGAGCTGCCACCGGTGAGTGCACGGTGGTCTCACTACAGGTCTTGAGAAAGAGGAGGAGGAGAAAGGGAGAGATCAGCTCTCCAGGAAGAGGAGAGGGGTTAAAGCTAGCATGGGGCTCTGGCCAGCTCCTTCCTCCCAGAATCGGTCTGCGGAATCCCGAGGAAGCCAGGCCCTGGGGCTCCCACACCCTGCACCCCACAGTGGGGCTGTGTTATGGGTACTCCAGGAAGAAGAGCCCCTAAGACCCATGGCACACCAATGCTAAGTTTCTGTATTTGATAGGGACTTTGGGGGGTCGGAACAGAAACAAATGTGAGCCTCACACTCCGACTCCCACTTTCATCTGAGCGGGGAGAAGCCTACCCTGCTTCACCCAACCCTCCAAGTACAACCCAAGACTCAACCTGCCTCTCCTGGTTTCCTAACACATCTCATGCCACCTCGGCTCTGCTGATGTCCCCAGAGAGTCCCCTGCTTCCCAGGCCATGAGCCCCAGGGGGTGGGACCACGACATCCATTTCATACCCCTGGTGCCCAGCCTGGTGAGCTGGAAAGCGGATGATGAATGGACAAATGGACGGCAAGATGAACAGAGGTGAGCTCGCTTCTCCTTCTTCCCCCTTCCTCTGGGCACTGCGAGTTTGGTGCCCTGAGGAAGAAGTGATTTCTGAAGCCATTTCCCGTTCTCCACACCCCCAAACCACCGCTGTCCCTCATCCTGTCTCCCACGTTTCCAGGTTCAACAGCAGATAGGCAACTGCGCGGTTTCTCTTGGCCCCTGTCTAACTTCTCTGGGAGAACAATGTCCACAGGTTTCCCATATGTGCTGATGCTGGGCCCGAACACAGGAATGGCCTTTTAGATGCCGCATTCAAGGCTTCTCAGGCTGAGAGGTGAGTCAGCTGTCTAAAGAACGTCCACAAGAAAGGAGAAAGTGCTCGGTGATCACTTGGTATGCACCTGCCCGCACGGTGTTTCTGTGCATTGCTTTTCCTTCGTTTTCTTGGGAGCAGGAGAGGTAGCAGCGTTCATGTGGTTTTCAAACGCCCTCTGGGTTATAAGATCCGAAACTGGTTTCATGTGAATCTAAGTAACTACTTGCCAAAGGGCTAACAAAGGTGGCGCCCCCACAGGCTGACAATAGGAGCAGCGATCACGCCAGTGCAATGGCCATACGTGACACCTAGATGTGTCGACACCAGGGGAACAGGCCTGCTGGTCCTGCACACCAGACATTTCTCTGACAGAGGACCAGGGGTCACCATGGGCTGAGAGCAAGCGGCCTCCAGGTCCCAAGGAAGCAGAAGAAAAGGCCCATGCCCCCACTCCAAGCCATGGCCAAGGGCCCTTGTGCTCTGACTCAGATGGCAGTGGGATCCAGAGAGCCCTGGGCTAGAAGCCTCACACCTAGCTGCTGGCCCAAGAGACATGAGCACCCCAGGGCCTCCCTCAGCCCTCAAGAGCCTGTCCCCACTCTCCATCCCATCTGCCCCTGCTCATGGGTGGAGAAGTGGACAAACTGAAATGCTCTGGCCTCTGCACCTGTGACCCACTTGGGTGTGGCGACCACGTCCCAGCAGGAGACAGCTCAGCCATACCCAGGCCGGCTGCAGGGGAGAACCGCAAGCAGTCCACCGCCCACCGGCCCCGTGCCCAGCTACTGCCCACATAGGGGGCCAGGGCACCGGATGTGTTGGTGAAAAGATGCTCAGAGAGAAGGCCTCTCTCCCTCGTTTCAATTCTAGGAATTCCCCCATGAATGTGCGGGGAGATTTCCCTCCTTCACACCCGCCTCTGCAAGACACCTGTTGTTTCTGCCTCCAAAGGGCCCCAGGAGGCCTGATGGCAATTCAGGGCATGAGTTCCAGGGCTCTACTCAACTGCTGGACCAAGTGATGCCTGAGGTCACTGGGGACAGATTCCATTCAGCCCCTGGGAAAAGTCTGTCAACCTTGTCCAGAGGCCTCCGTTCCGACCCCCTACCCAACTGAACCCCTGTACTCCCTTCTCAGCTGCAGCGCCAGGCCCAGCACTTCTGCCAGAGGTCACAGGTCTTGTGGGTGGGAAACCTGCTTCTGCACCTCACCCCAATGTGCAGGCTGCGAGGGGACCACAGAACCCCTCCATCGGGCTCCAAGGGAAGGGCCACCTCAAGACAGCGCCTCCACCCCACTCCATGCTACTCAGCCCAGGCTGACGCCCTCACCTGATGCCCATGGAGCGTGTAGAGCAGCCGGCCCTCCATGAGGTCCAGGATCTTCAGGGTTGAGTCGCTGGAGGCCGTGACCAAGTAGTTTCCCGACGGGTGGAAGGAGAGGGCGTTCACCGCCGCACTGTGCACTGGAGGAAAGACGTCACTCAGATGGGCTGGGAGGCCCACGAAGCCAGAAGACAGGCCAGAAGGCTCGGCACAGGTCTGGGCCGGGGCGGCCATTGCCCAGAGCTGCTATGAAGAGCCCCACAAGGACCTCCCAGGAGAGCAGCACAAACAAAGGACAGGAGGAGACTCATCCAGAGATGAGGGCAGGCAGCGGGAGACGCAGGGCAGGCGGGAGCACGTGTGGCAAGGCCAGAGAGATCAAGCTATTCCTCCGCCTCTCCCTCCTCACCAAGCAGTCAAGCTAGAGCCGAACAGAGTGCTCAAACATAACGCTCAATCTGTCTCACATGCTGCTACGTCAGGGAAACCAAATGGAAAAGAAAACCCCTGGAAATGCCAATATGATGCCCCTGCCCTGGGGGAAAGGATGGGCGTGGGAGCAGGCAAGAAAACAGCTTAAGACCCGCTCTCAGGAGCCAGTCAGGCCCGGGTTCCAATCCCAGCCTCCTGACTGACCCACCCTGGGACCCTGAGCGAGCATCTTCACACACTGAGCCCGTTTCTCCTTCTGTGGCACAGCACCCACAAGTTAGGGTGTTGTAGGCATGCTGCCAGGTGAAGCCTGAGGCCTCTGTACAGAGTGAGCCCTGATGTCCCTTTCCGCTACCCCAGGCATCCCATGCTACTCCAGGTCCTGCCATTTAACCCATTCGACAGCTCAAGCCCATCCACGATTCTTCCCCACTGCTCCAGCCCAAGCCCCACCATCCATGCTGGTGTCCCTCGCTCTCCAAGATCTGGCCACACCAGCCCTGTCAGCTCCCTGGCTGTGGGACCTTCCCAGCCCTTGTTCTCCCTGGCCCGGGAAGACTCTTGCTTGCCTCTTCCCCAGACCCTGCAGCTCACTCACTGCTCAGTCACCTCCTCAGGGAAGTCTCCCCTGACCTCGCCATCAGGGTCACCCCCTTGTGGTCCCTCCTGAAGCACCGTGAGTCTCTTCACAGCAGGGTTTTTACATTTATGTGCAGCTCTTTGGTTCCCGGCTGGGTCCCCCATGAGACCATGTGCTCCATCAAGCAGGGGGCTGTGTTGGGTCCTTGGCTCCTGCCTCAGTGCCTGACACTGAGCGGGACTCAAAAAGCAGTTGGTCAGTAGGTGAACTGGACCAGGCAGGCCACATGGGGACATCAACATAGAGTAGCTGCTGAGGAAGACCCAGGTGCCTTTGTACCCATTAACACAGGCCTCGTGAGCAAAACCACAGGGGCTAGGATAACCATGACCCCGCCAAGTCAGAACTGCCACAAACATAAATGCAAATTCTAGAATCAACCCCTCATCCTGGCACCGTGAGACTGCAAGAACCACTGCTGGACCAATAAACACACCCACCATGAAACGGCCCTCAGTAGAGCTGACAGAGGTACACGGAGCCCCTCAGACACCAGGTCAGCCGATGTGCAGACACGTCGGGGAGTGTGGATTCACGTTCCCAAGCATACTTAGGGGAGACACTAGGGCTTTACATAATACGATCTTTAGGTCTAAACACTCTCTCTCTCAGCACCAGGAACTCCAAGAGACGGCCTGGAGTGGGGTTGATGGGGTCTCCAGAGCCAGCTCCTGGAGGCGGAGTCCAGAGCCCCACGGCCAGACGCTCTCCCACACTCAGGGCCATGAGGCAGGGGGCGGCACCCTCAGTGTTTACCAGAAATGGGGGCATGGAGAGGAGAGAAAAAAAGCCAGAGCCGACCCCAGCAGAACTGAACAGGCACCGGCCACAAGCAGCAGCAGAAAGAACGTTAGTGGCGCACAGGGTGTGCCCGTGACTCCCCACGTGTGGGGGGCACACCCACGTGTGCAGACCCAGAGGAAGGTGTGGACAGAAGCTCCAGACACAGAGCAGGGGTGCCCTCTGGGGAGGACAGGAATAGGGGGACTTCTAATTATTACTCTACGTACTTCCAGAAAATATTTTTTCAGCATTAGAATATAGTCACTATCATTATACAACTGAGCAAATGATAAAAAGTGAATCCCTCCCTCCCCCCAAACGAGTGTGTCACGCCTGGGGAGGCGACCCAGGCTCTGCAGGCACTTCAGGCTGTGCTTCTATAGGCTGCGAGCTAGTGTGTGCTCCTGAGGGGCTGGCTGTGCTCGCCAGAACGCTGGTTCACACTCACGCTGGTGAGTGGGGGTGGGAGACGGGCACAAACACTGCGAGATCCCCCTGAGGAGTCCCGCCCACCCCTGACCCCTCAGCCCACAGTAGGACAGCTTTGAGAGGCAGCTGCCCTCCATCTATCTCACCACGCCCCAATCTCCCCTTGGGCCTCCTTAGATGCTGCTCCTGGCGCATCTGCCTCGCTGAGCCTGGAGAAGGGCGCGCTATTCTTGCTTCTGCAGCTCCTGGCAGCCTGTGCTGGCATGAACGCCCCCCAGCCCCTCCCCGAGACAAAGCTGGCAGGGGACAGCCAGCAGCAGCGTGGATCGGGGGAGGCAAGCTCAGGAAACACAGGGCTTGCCCAGCACCAGCAGGGCGGCAGGGGCAGGGCGTGGTTACCAGCCAGGTTCTCCCACCTGGTCAAGCCCACCCAAGGGAGGGAACCGCCACCCATCCCCCCAACCGGCCCAGGGAGGGGTGCCCGAGGCCCTGCTCCACTATTAATGGCAGAAATAGCTAAGGCCTCTTGGCTGGGGTAGAAATATCTGGAACCACTTACTCCAAAACAGGGCTCAGCCTGGCAAGCCAGGCTTTTGGGAATGTGCCAGCCCCACCTTTCCCCACTCGCTCTCCTGCCTCACCCACCGGCCCCACCAGCCTGGAGCAGCCTCTCTGGCTCTGCCGAGGGTGGGGCTGTACCAGGGAGGCCTCATAGAATCAGCCCTGCATGACAGTCTCCCACGGAGGCCCGGCTGCCCCACGAGGGGGTGAGCCTCCCGTCACGAAGCCCTGAGCAGTGACGGCACACAAACAATCCACTTTTCACCAAGCTCAAAGTTGCAGGCCCTCTGCCTATCTCCATGGCAGACATGGGTGACAGCTGATGGCAGGTTGCCATTTGGGCACGATGTGGGCTACACCCCACCCCCACCGCGACCCCAAAGAAGGGACTCCAGCTCAGGGTCAGAGATGTACCAGCATCAATGTTCTATAGGTCACCAGGATGCCAGGGAGGGTGGGACTGAGGCCACTGCAGACCCTGCCCCCAAGTACTAGGAACGGGCCACAGCCTGCGGGCAGCAGGTGGCCTAAGGAGAGACCTGGCTATCCACAAGCTGCCTGCACAGCTCTGCTTGTAGAACCCTCAGCAAATCTGGCCCACTGCCCAATGGGTTCCAAACTGGCCATGGGGCCCACAGAGACCCACAGGTGTCCAAGGTGCCCAAGCAGGAGGTCTCCTTCTGGGGCAGGCCATGCTAGCGCCGAGCCCCACCACATGCCCACAAGGGGCTCGCTCTGCCACGGTGGCCTCTCACAACGCACAACTGGCATTACTAGTGACACAGTGGCTGTGGGCTCACGAGAGGCTGTGGGTTCACACAGTGAAGGTGCTCTGACACCAGCAGCAAAGGACACTCCAAACAGTCATCTCGCGAATGTCGTAGGAACACCCGCTCAGGGATGGTGGGCGAGAGCTGCTGAGTTGGCCAGAGAGGGTGGGACAGTGCACTGCCTCCTGATCAACCCTTTCGGTCTCCAAAAGCCAAAAAGGGTGCAGGCCTGCCCTGCTGGTTGCACAGCGGCTTTAAAACCCTCCGTGACCATGTCTGGGGTAGAGAGGGGGTCCAGGGACGTGCTAAGGACCAGTGGACAGAGAAGCTGGGACTCTGAGCTCTAACTGGAGTTTCTGGAGAGAGCCAAGCCAAGCCCTCTTGGGGGCCACAGGCAAGTAAATGACTAGAATCAACACGGTGAGAGGAAGCCATAGCTTCCCAGCTGCTTGACCTAGGCAAGCCTCAAACACCCCATCTGTGAAATGGGGAGTAGCCCTGCCCTGCTGACCACTCAGGCCTGTCCCTGGATAATGAACCCGCACGTGCCTGGAAACCGCAAAGCACATTAAGGGATCCGGGACAGAGCTGCTGCTGCTCAGATGTCTGAACAGTCTTAATGTGGGCTCAGAGCATACGGAGCCTAACCCACCTCCGTGGGGACTGGCACTCCCGGGGCTCCAGTGCCCCACCAACTCCTTGCTGAATTGGGAAATCAGAACTGCTCCCTGCAGTGATAGGCCAGAGCAAGAAACTCCTCGCCTGAGACAAATGGTGCCAGCTGCCTGCTGTAGCCCAGAGTGATGCCAACAACCCAAAATGGGACCGGAAGTGCCCTCCACGGAGCAAGACCATGGCGGCTGGCCACAGGCTGGCTGCACTTGCTGGCCACACGTTTGCAGTATCATGAACCAATTTCTCTCAGAAGAGCCCAACAGCCTTATGCGCCCAAAGCCCAATCAGGGAAGACACTGGATGTCACTGTCCTTAAACACTTCCCCCTGGGTGTCCTAGGGGTCAGGGACAGAAAACAGCTCAGGTGCCTGCTACTGGGGGGCTGGGAGCCCTACTTGGGCAATCAGCTTCCCAAGAGATCCCCTGGCACCTCTTCTGGGTGGGGGGACAGCTGCTACTCAGGGGCTAGGAGGGTCTCTCAGGTAGAAGGTTCTGCCATGGAGCTCTCTAGGGGAGCTGCTGAGCACACCTGACCAGGTCCCTCCCCAGCAAACAGGGTGAGGGCTGTCCCCCGCAACCAAGGAGCTCAGACCTGCCAGGCTCTCCTTGAGCCCCGGAGGCTGAGCCCAGAGGTGGTGGGATGAGTCTGCTGCCTTGTGAATACCCACCGTGTGCCATGCATTGGGCAGGGAGCTCAGAGGGAACCGGGTTATTTATGGGGTACTCCAGGCCCCCTGAAGCCTCTGGTCTCTATTAGGGGCGGCTTAGGAATAAGATGCTGCAGGCTCGCTGAGTGGCTCTATCACAAGAGGAAAGGACAGCAGCAAAAACAGACTGAAATCTCACCGTGGAGCCTGTCAGCCTCATGCACCTCAGGTCCCCTCAGGACTTGACCTCTGATGCTATCCGAGTCCACCCCCACCCCTGGGCCCTGCCAGTCACTGATCTCCCACCCCCACCCACTGCCAAGCCTGCTCCCCCAGGAATCTCTCCCCAGCACCCTCCACTCTCAACTGCTCTGCATCATGCCGCCCCCTGACCACCCTCTTTAGGAGACCCTGCTTTCCTTCAGTCCCCTGGCTCTGCTCTCCTCAGCCCTCCATCACGGTTTTCTAAGCGGGCTGCCCCTGCTCACTCTGGCTGCTTGTGGACCTTTTTCTTCCACAGCCCCTCAATCACAGGGATGCAGGGTGTGGCCTTCTCACACCCCAGATCCCTAGGCCCAGCTGGCCCCTCCACCCCATAGCATCAGCTTCTGCCTCTATTCAATCTCCAAAACCCACCCCCGGGCCTGACCTCTGCCCCACTCTGATGCCCAGCTTTCACCCAACATCGGGCATTGACAGCCCACCCACCAGTCACCTAGGCACGTGGCTTCCTACCCAAGCAGGCTCTCAGCACTGCTGTCCTCTCAGATGCCCCTCACCCTTTCACCTGTCCCAGCACTTCCAGCCAGCCTGCATCTTCGGGACCCTGGGCTAGAGCATGGCGTTCAAGGCCCTCCCCCGCAGGTACCTGTTGCTGCACCTCACCAACACCAGACCTAGGTTCCTGATCCATCACAGGTGGGCCTGGACTCTCCCAGGGTCACCTGGAGATTCTCTTCACCAGTATCAAGATTTATGTGGTACAAACCATGTACCCAGTAATGTATTGTAATCCTCATGTGGATTCTCCCATCAGATCCTCACAAACCCCATAAGGCAGGCTACCACCAGCCCTTCACAGACAGGAAACAGAGCCCATACTCCTAACTACTGCTCTGCCTCATCACCTCCCTTCCCGTCTCTCCCTGTCCAAGTCCTCCCTCCTGACCCCACACTCAGAGGTGGCCTTTCCGCCCAGCACTCCTCTGCACCTCCCACCTTCCGCCCAGTCAGCTATGCAGATGTACCCAGTCTCCAACTCAGGCCTGGCCCAGAGCAGGAGGAGAAAGGCCTCTGAGTGTGAAGGAGAGGAGGGAGAGGCGTGGTCTCCAAGTAGAGGGCAGACCCTGCTGGGGCTCTGTTCAGGAAGCCTCTGTCTGAAACAGCATCAGTGACAAACCCCAGGACTCCCTGTTGAGGAAAGAACCATTCTCATGGCTGGCCCCTGCCACCTAGTGGTGGTGTACAGTACTGCAAGCCTGGACCAACTGGGCCCACCTTGCTGGGAGACCAGACCTCCTGACTGAGACTCAGCATTACTGTCATTGTCACTAACACTGTGCCTGGTTCCTGTTTTGTGTGAGGCACTCTGTAAGTTCTTGTCATGGACCAACTCATCACCCTCCCAACATCACCCGAGAAACAGGCCTTATCATTGTGCCAGGGGCCCAGAGAAGTCAAGTAACCTGCTCAAAGTCACACTGCTAAAAATGCTGAAGCTGGGTGCAGAGCCACCCTCCACCATGTGCTTTTCAAGACCAGGATCCACTCCCCCTTCTTGGAAGATCTGTTCCTTCAGTTACCCCAAGAAAGTCCTGGCCTCAAACATCTGAGAATTGGAAGGGCTTGTGGGGGGTGTTAAGGGGAGAGCTCTGAACACCACGCCCCACACTTTTCTCCAGATATGTCCTTCCCATTTTCAGGTGTGAATTTTGGAAGTGAGCCCATGGACTTGAAACTTAATCCCAAGTCAACAACCAGAGTTCTTTAAACAATGCCAGCTCTCACTCTCCCTGGTCTCAGCCCTGAGCCCCCAGGCCTGCCCACCCATTCTGCCCCCTGCACAACTCCCAGTTGATGGTGACCCCCTCACCAGCTCCCTTCCCTGGGCCCCATCCCCACAACTGGGGTGACTTAGGACTCTGCCCAGTCATACCTGCTCTGAGGCCAGTTCCATATCCCAGTACCTTCAGCTCTCTCATCGTAAGCTCACCCAAGTCTGCCCCCACTCCCACCTCCCTCCTGCAGCCCAATACCAGCCCACGTAGACAGCCCGCTGCCCTGCCTTCCAAGGGCTATAATTAAATATATATATAAATAAGGGGGCACAGCACCAGGGCTGGCTTCCAAGCCTGGCCCCCTACCAAGTCGACCCTCCATATGGCTCACGGCTCCACATCTGTGGAGGACACTGTGGAACCAGAGGTGGCCAAGGTCCCACCAACACTGACCTCTTTTGACAGACCTTTCTCCTTCACCACCTCCAGGGCTGTCACCTTGGCCCTGGAGGACAGAGCCTCCATTACAGGGGGAGGTGAGTGGCATGGGCAGCCCCTGAGAAGTGCCCCTCAAGAGGAGCCCTGGCCAGAGCCCCACTGAGAGCCCCCATCTGGACCGCAGTGTGCCTGAGGTTCTGCCATCTCGTAAGTGGGCACCAAAGGGCTGGTGGATGCCAGTTAGCACCACGCTCTATCTCCAGGCCAAGGTTCCAGGACAGCCACGCCATAGACTACCCACCCCTGAAGATCCCAACAGACCCAGGACTCCCCCCCTAACCCCAAGCCAGCCACAGCTGTCCTCAGGCCCATTTAAGCCCCACAGCCAAGAGCCGGGCACCCGGCGTGGCACAGTCCCACTGCAGCCGCTCGGGGACACTCACACTGATAGTGCTGCAAGAGCCGGTGAGTCCGCACGTCCCACACCTTCACCGTGTTGTCCATGCCGGCGGCGGCGATGCACGTGCCGCTGGGGTGGAAGTCCACGTAGGTGACAAAGCTGGAAAGGGGGCCACCGCATGCTGTAGGAGGTCTGCCCTGGCTCAGAACAGACCCCCAAACATCCAGCACATCCCCATCCCCACACACCTGCTCACACTCTTCCCTCAGCCCAGAATACCTCCCTATTGCCCTGTATCTTTACCAGGCGGCCAAGGGAGAACAAGAAGGAGAGGGTGAGAACAGAGGCTAGCAGTGACCTGAGGGGCACTTACCAGGGAGCAAGTCTCAGCACCAACTTCTAAATGCGAGCAGAGAAAGTGGACTTCAGACCAAAGGTCAGCCAGCTGCTCGGGTGCTTTCAGTTAGAGCTGATGCCCCTACCAGAGCAGGAGGCAGGGCAGGTCCTGCCACCTGAGGCCCAGACATCAAGGGCCAGCAGGGTCCCAGAACCACTGGCTCACCTATTTCTAGAAGACAAGCCAAGGGCCCTCGATATACTCATATGTGACACCCAGGCTGGTATCGTGGCCAGCCCTCAGAAGGGACCCTTACCTGGGGCTCCCAGCCTAACAAGGGGCAGACGCTGAGGTTCATCTAGGAACCCAGATTGGGTGGGTCCCTGCTCAAATGCAGGCTCATCCCTCTCAGTGATGCGGCATGATATGAACAGTCACCATCCACTACAAGAACCTGATTAGCCTCTCATTTATAAAGTCATCACCAAGGAGAACATCCTTTTGGGGGTCTGGGTTCAACTTCTTTAGACAGACGTGTCACAATTTTGAGAACTAGAAAGTGAAGGGAAAAGAGAGGCCTCGAGAGTTTCATGCCTTTATCTTTATCTTTATTCCTGTCCTGCCCCTAGGTTCTTCATAAACATTTTTTTTTTTTTAGATTCCATATATATGTGTTAGCATACGGTATTTGTTTTTCTCTAAAACACAGACGTAGAGAATGGACTGGAGGACATGGGGAGGGGGAAGGGTAAGTTGGGACAAAGTGAGAGAGTGGCACGGACATATACACACCACCAAATGTAAAACAGCTAGCTAGTGGGAAGCAGCTGCATAGCACAGGGAGATCAGCTCGGTGCTTTGTGACCACCTAGAGGGGTGGGATAGGGAGGGAGGGAGGGAGACGCAAGAGGGAGGAGATATGGGGATATATGTATAGCTGACTCACTTTGTTATAAAGCAGAAACTAAGACACCATTGTAAAGCAATTATACTCCAATAAAGATGTTCAAAAAGAGTTTCATGCCTTGAGGTTAAGCACTCTTACTGTTTGTGGGGATGGGGATGAGGCAGAAACTTCCACCCACAAGCGAAAAGATACAGAGCCAGGGAGCAGCAGAGACATGGCGGTGGGCCCCAAGTGCCGCCACTGGAGGCCACTAGGGCCTCTTCGAGCCCAGGTCTATGCTTTTCTCGAGCGCCTACAGGTGGAGGACAGGGTCTGGGGACTCACCTGCCGTGCTCACAGTATGAGTGGACACACTCCCGGCTAGTCTTGTCCCACACCTTGACAGTCTTGTCATCACTGGCAGACACGATGAGCCGCCCATCCGGGGAGAACCTGAACCAGGCGGGGCACAAGTCACATCACCAGTCAACAGACATCACGGGCACCACACACCATCTTCCACAGTCACCCTTCCTGAGCTGCCCACCACCTGACCTCAGGAACCCACCTGGGCCACATGCCCTGCTCTGACCCTGAGTGATCCTGGGCAAATGCCTTTCTCTCTGCAAGATGGGTCAGAAGGGTGCCTACCTCCTGGTAAGCAGGTAGGCAGTAGCGTCGCACACGAGGCCCCCAGCACTGCACATGGCAACATGTGTGCTGACTGCTGGTACTTGGCATCATTATCCTGTTCCCAAGTGCCCTGAATCCACATCTAACTCTGAGAATGGGTCAGCAAAACCAACCTGCTAACAAAAAAGGAGTGGAGGTTCTGGGGACCCACCACCAAAGGCCTGGTGTGAGTTCAACACTTGTTTGCTGGCGGGGCCCCTCCTATTCTCAGGAGCCCAATGGTGAGGGCCTCTCAGAGTAATCAGGGAGCTCCCAGGACAGAGGAACGAGGGCCCTGGAGAACAAGTAACTTCATGGGGTCCCCAGAAGAACACAGCTCAACAGTCCCCAACCTCTGACTCCCATGGTTTCCCAGTGTCCCCAGACACCCCATCCTCTTCCTCCAGAGCACAGAGATTCGACACGTGAGATCTCTGTTGAAAGGAAAAGAATAAGCTAGAAGCAGGCACAGCTGTGTCCGCAATTCTTAGACCTTGAAAGGTGCTTTGAATCAGCTGGCCCCCATCCCCACGGCACTGGCCCCCACACCAAAGGGAGAACCGGCTTCCAGACCAACCCCTCTCAGAAGCCTGGGCCCCCATCTGGCAGCTCTGAAGCAAAATCAACCTCTGAGGAGCAGAACGTCCTCAGAGGAAAGTAGGCAAGCCTTAGTGCCAGACACTCGGCTTCCAACCCCAGCTCTGCCACTTACTCCCAATGTGCCCCACGGCAAGATACTACACTATTCTGAGCCTCAGTTTCTTCATCTGCAAAATGGCAACAATGCCACCTACTTGCGGGACTGCCATGAGGAGTTAGAAGAAAACGTCTAGTGGTGGTACTGACGTTACCTTCTTGTTGTTGCTATTGCTAATAAGTGGCCCCTGATGACTCACCTTGGGCTGCATCAGCACAGACGTCGGGGTCAGTCGTGGCTGACAACGGACTAACTTACTTGTCGTGCATTAGCTCAGTGAAGCTTGGACAACTTACAACGTGAGAACTATTATTGTTCTTTTTCACACATACGGAAGTTGAGGTTCAGGAAGATAAAGAGTGGCTAATAACTTGTCCAAGGTCATGGTGCTAGCACCTGCCAACTCCTCTGTGCCCTCCAACCCCCGGGGTCCCTCCAGCGGTCTCCAGGTAGGACACTACTCACTTGGCACAGCGGACCCAGTTGATGTGCTGGCTCAGGGAGAACAGGAATTTCTGGCGATGAGTTGACCACACCTTGACTGTCTTGTCGTCGGAGGCTGTCACGAAGGACTGGCCATCGCTGCAGAAGTGGATGCTCCTCACTGTGGCCGTGTGTGCACGAAACATGGTTGACTCGCCTTTGCTGCAGGGATGGGTATCCAGAGTCAGGAAACCCATAAACCCATAAGAGCAACAGAAGGGCACATCGAAGCCCTCCCCACCCCTCAGAACCCTCCCAAAGTAAATCCAGGCTTGAGTGCCTCAGTCCCCCAAAAGGGAAGCCAGAGCCTCACCCACGTGTAGGCAGCGTCAGGTGGGATCCCTTCCAGGATGGCTGAGGTCAGCCCAGGATCTCCCTATTGGCCCTGAGGGGAGGGCCCCGACTGAAGCCCCAGCTTCTGATGTTACCTCCTCAGAAGTGAGGCAGATGTCCCACTGTGACCAGTCCAGCACTAGGGCCTAGACTCAGACAAGCCCCTCCAAGTCTTTAACTCACACGTTGGGTACCCAGATGCGGACAGTCTTGTCACGGGAGCCTGAGGCAAGCAGGTGTCCCGAAGGGGAGAAGTTCACACAGGTGACGGTGTCCTTGTGGCCGGTGAAGCGGTAGGCACGTGACTGGGGCTTCATGTGCCACACCATGAGGCATGAGTCCATGGAGCCACTGGCTGAGGAGAGAGCAGATGCCATGACGCTCGGCTCAAGCAGGCCTGGAGCCTCCACCAGGATGCTGGAGACGGGCGGGGGGTGGGGTGCGGGCAGAAGAGACAGCCCAGCTCTGCCTTCTCCATGGGGACAGGCCACACCTCCAGTGACTGCTGAGCAGGAGTTCGGAGAGCCTAGGGCCTGTCACCACTCCAGGCAGCGGGCCCACACAGCAACCAGACCTGGGCTGTAACCAAGGGTCCCGGGTCTCCCCACAGACACACTCTGCGGCTCGAGAGAGCAAGTCCTCGCAAAATTGGGGAGCCAGCTCAATCCAGTGGCCATTTTACCATTAAGAGGACCCATCAGAAGCCTAGCGGAGGTCCGCAGAACAGACCAAAAATGACTTGTTTCCTCTTAATCTCCAGCGTATATCACAAGACCAGCAGCTTCTGGCAGGGGACCTTGACCATTGGATGAAGGGGGAGCCTCGTCCATAGAAACAAGAAAGCTGCAGCCGTGACAGCTGTGTATGAACCCCCAGGTGGCCAAGGAGGGAGCACTCGGCTGCAGCATAAGGGCAGTGGGGGGAGGGGAGCACCCGGCTCTGCCCCCCCATCCTTCTCAGTGGTGGGCGTCTTCAACAAGGAGGTGTGCCCATGGTACTGTGGACAACAGAATCAATAAAGACCCAAGGAAAAAGCCACTGTTTAGGGTTCATTCTGCAGGCCAGGCCTGAGAGGTGGATGGGGTGTGCACGGAAAAGCCCAGAACCGGGTCCTAACCTCAAAGGCTGTGTGACCTTAGCAAGGCCCCCAACCTTTCCGAGCCTCACACTCCACATGCAGAATGGAGCTCATAAAGCCTAGCGCCCAGAGAGCAGGCCGGCTGAAGCAGGAGGTAGGTCTAGACAAAGCACCTGGGTCCTCACTGTGCCCTGCTCCCCCACGCCACACCTCCCAGGTAGAAACGTGACCTTCTCAGCTCATAACCTAGTGCCTAGAATAAGATGCCTCTTCTTACCCAGCTGCTTCGTGTTGAGACTGAAGTCCACACAGGTAACTGCATCCCGGTGGCCCTTAAAATGCCTCTCCAGCGAGGGGTCCTCCTGAGGGAGAGCCAGGGTGAAATATGTGAAGCCAAGATGAGGAAGGGGCTTCCCCAGGGCCAAGACTCTTCCTATAGCAGCCAGCAGCATTTAAAAATGCTCCAGGCATGGGCTTCCCTGGTGGCGCAGTGGTTGAGAGTCCGCCTGCCGATGCAGGGGACACGGGTTTGTGCCCCGGTCCGGGAAGATCCCACATGCTGCGGAGCGGCTGGGCCCATGAGCCATGGCTGCTGAGCCTGCGCGTCCGGAGCCTGTGCTCTGCAATGGGAGAGGCCACAACAGTGAGAGGCCCACGTACAGCAAAAAAAAAAAAAATGCTCAAGGCATGATCTTGTATATAGAAAATCCTAAGGAATCACTAAAAAATCTATTAGAACTAATAAACAAGTTCAGCAAGCTTACAGGATACAAAATCAATATACAAAAATCAAGTACACCAACAATGAACAATGTGAAAAATAAAAGTATGATGACAATTCTACTTATGATACATAAAAAAGAACAAAATACTTAGGAATAACTTAACAAAAGAAGTGCAAGACATATGAGAACTAAAAAACATCATTGAAAGAAGTATAGAAAGACCTAGATAAATGGAAAGACATCCCATGTTCATAGTTTGGAAAACTTAATATTGTTAAGATGAAATACTCCTCAAATTGATCTACAGAGTGAACAGAATCCCTTTCAAAATCTCAGATGCCTTTTTTTTGCAGAAATTGACAAGCTCATCCTAAAATTCACATAAAATGTAAAACAGCCAGAATAGAAAACAATGTTTAAAAATAAAAACAAAAACCAGTCACTGTAGAAAGCAATTTGGTAGTTCTGCAAAAAGTTAAGCACAGAGTTATCAAATGATCCAGCAATTGTAGGTAAATACCCGTAAGAGTTGAAAGCATTTTCACACAAAAACTTGTACACAAATGTTCATAGCAGGATTATTCATAATGGCCCAAAAGTGGACAAACCTTAATGTTCATCAACAGACAAATGGATAAACAAAATGTGGTATATCCATACAACAGAATATTATTCAGTCATAAAAAGGAATGAACTACTGACACATGCTACAACACAGATAAACCTTGAAAACATTATGCTAAGTGAAAAAAGCCAGACACCAAAGGCCACATTTTGTCTGATTCCATTTATATGAAATGTCCAGAATAGGCAAATCTATAAAGATAGAAAATAGATTAGTGGTTGACAGGGACTGGGGAGGGGGGGGGGGGGGGGGGGGGGGCAGTCACGAAGAAGGGGAGCAACTGCTTAATGGGTATGGGTTTCTCTTTGGGGTGACAAAAATGTTCTGGAAATAGACAGTGATGGTTACACAATATTGTGAGTGTACTAAAAACCACTAAACTTTACACTTCAAAAGGGTGAATTTTATGGTATGTGAATAATATCTCAATAAAGTTATTTTTCCAAAGACCCAAGAGAAAATGGGGACTTTCAGCACCCCCATCTCAGGAATCAGATCCTATACCTTCAGTCCCACTGCGGACCGGCCAGTGAACCCAAAGGTCAGCCCTGAATAAGCCCCCAGTGGCTTTACGACCATCTCCACTCCACCCAACATCAGAGAAGCAGTAGCTTAGGAAGACATGGAGATAATATTCCGGAGATTCTCTCCATCCAACAGCAATTCACGTTGAAGAGTTATAGTCCAGCCATGCAGACATCTCCCCCTACCCCAAATATCTTAAACCTCAAAGAAGCATTTTGGGGGCACCAGGGAGCCCAGCAAAGCCTCCTCTTGAGGAAAAAACAGCCTTGGGGCAGAACAAGGACTGCAGGGAGCTGTAACCAGAACAAAGGCTCCCGTGGCCCCTTGCCCAGCTCCACCCCCCAACACACCAGCCTGAGTCCTCCTTTCAACAAGAGAAGGAATGGCAGCTGGAGGAGGGCAGAGAACTGAGCAGAAACTGCTCCACCTGAACTTGCTGGAAGAATAAGGGTAAAATAGTGCACCTTCTAGAGGCAAGTTCAGATCCGCCCCTAACCAGGGGACGCCTGAAATCTCCCAACACCCTCTCTTCCAATCCCACAGGCTTGTTGGTTCCTCATCTCCCCCAAAGGTGGTTTATATATTGGGGTGGAGGGATCAAACACCACTAGAGATCAAAAGGCCTAGTTCCTAGTCTGAGCCCTCTGCTCACATGCCCAGACACCCAAGGAAGCCAACAGGCCACCACCCAGCGTCCTTGATTTTCAACCCAGCCAGAGGACCAGGCAGGTTCAGGTTTAAAACAACCTCTCAAAAAGAGAGGCTTTGGAGTGCTCCCCTCTGGCCTCACGAAGAACCTGGGACTCAGAGAGGGCAGTCTGGCCCAGGTCACACTGCAGGCCTGGGCCGTCCCGGGCATCCCGGAGGCCTGCTGTTCCCACACGTCGGAACAGGGTGCACCCTCAAACAAACCCCCATTCAGCCATCCACTGCTCAGGATAAGGAGACAGAAGCCAGAGAGGCCCGGCGCTGGCCCCAGGTCACACCTCCAGTCGGGTCATACAAGTGTCTCCCCCGCTAGGGGTAGATGCAAATCCTGGGGGCAGAGGCTGGTTTCTTAGCCCCGTTAGCCCGAACAGAGCCTGGCTCGCAGGAGGCGTTCACCAGGTGCCCGTACTCAAGTGCCCCCTGCACAGACGGTAAACTGGGGCCAGAGAAGACCGGCTTGGAACCCTCCGTCCGGCTAGGCGGGGAGACTAAAGCCCGGGCGGCCGCAGCTGGCAGGAACTTACCAGGCAGGGTGCGGCCATGGCGGGGCCAGGAGCGCCCAAGACGCCAGAGGAGCCCGAAGAAGCAGCGGCTGCAGTTTCGTCCCGTTCAGTTTCCGCGCCCCCAACCGCCGCCAATAGCAACGCGGGTCGCTTCGCCTCGCCCCGCCCACCGCGGTTAAAGGAGACGCGGCGCCTCGGCTTTTTGCCCCCCGACTGGAAGGAGAGCTGTATGGCCGGCTCCATGGTCTCTGCGTCCAGCGCCCCCAGGCCAGGCAGCCTACCGACGGCGCCGCCAAAGGCCTCTGTCCACCGTCACTCATTCCCCCTGAGAAATTAAAAAGTCCAGGATGAGAGGTTCGCCCCACCGACCCGTAGCCGGGCTAACGAGACGGCGAGCACAGCCTTCTGGGAAATGCAGTTCCAAGACGCCCTCATCCTTGTGTCTGGAGGAAAGTGGGACTACATTTCCCAGAATGCCATGAGGGCGGGGCCGTGAATAACCCGAAGTGAACGCTTTAAGGATCCCGGAAGTGGAGATGCTTAAACCATTCTGTTTGGGTTAATTGTGGCTCGTTGTGATTGAGTCCTCTTCAAGCGCCCACGAGGCCGGCTTTTCTCTCAGTACCCCATTAAGAGCCAATTATTCACCCTTCGGGAATTCTTTAAGTAGTTCGCTCTTCCGAACGCGCTTAAAACAGGTGTCGATTTAAAAGAACACTAGTCACTCGGAATCACACCCTTGGAGTGGAGAGGCCTGGGTTCTATTCTCAGTTCTTGCCCTGATTCGCTGCGTGACCTCGGGAAAAATAACCCTGCTCTGTGGACCTCAGTTTCCCCATTTGTGACATGAGAGGGTGTGACGCAGCCTGGCCCTCTCAGGACCCTCAGCCCTGAGCAGCCGTTATAAATTACAAGTTTAAAAGAGGAGACAATCCAAGGGCCTGGCCGCCAGAGGTCGTCCTTGCTCACTTTCTTGGGTCTCTAGACCTTCCTGCTCGACCGCCCACCCCACCCACCCCCGCCCTCGCCACAGCACGCACGAGCGCGCACACACACACACACACACACACACACACACACAGACACACACACACCCCTACCTCACTCTGGGCATCTTCCCAACCTGGACCTGATCTGGACTGGACATTTGTCAAGATTTGGGAACCTTGTGTCACCTCTCTGGTTAAGTGTGGATTGGCCATACTTCAACACTGATTAAGATTTGGCCAGGCCCTGAGGTTTCTCAGGACATCCTGAGACCTAAGATGGTGTGTCCCTAGACCTGCAAACCAGAGCCCAATTCAGTGAACTCAGAGACTGGCAGTGGGGGGGAGCTGGCATGTGGAGGAGTGAGTCTCTTCTTTGGACCTGGAAGGTTTGGGGCCAGACCCAAGAAATAGACACATTTAATCCCATCTTCGCTGTGGTTTGGCTTAAAACTGGTTCCTGTATGTTAGAAATTGTCAGGCTCACATAACTTATACAATATGAAATTCCACTTAAAACATGTATAGTATCGCTTACACACACCCGAAATTGTTCAGCACTGTTCAAATGACAATTTTCAAGCCTTCCCACCAATGTTTGCATCTTATTCAGCTATTCTCTTGCCTACTGGACAAACATTTAAAGTGAAAACATTAAGGAAGAAAAAAATTTAAATACAGAAAAATATATCTATTACACATAAGGGTTCAATCATTCTTGTTGTTGGGTGGTGTTTTTGGTTTTGTTTTGTTTTGTTGTCAACTTTAGCTATAGAACACCCATGGTTTACAGGAGTTCATAATCTACATAACTAAATTTATGAAACCCTTCTGTAAAATGATTTTCAAATGTCAGGTCTGCTCAAAGCGAGAGGCACTGGAAGATTTTACTCATCCTTGCTGGTCTTTCCAGATCCCACTGTCTGCTATCCTTACCCCTCAGGGAGGAGCAGCTGGGGATGCCCCACTCCCTCTTGCTCATTTACTCGCCATAAGAACGCAGAGTTCAGCTCTGCCAAAACCACATAGACAACCTAGGATACAACACTGGCACAGCCTGCATAAACCAAGATTGGTGCCTCCATGTTCTGATGGAGCAGTCCCCACCCCATGCCACCTCGACCAGGTTGAACTCCATTTCTGACTGGGGCCTCCATGGAGGGGGGAACACTCAGTGCTGGAAGAGCTTTAATACTGGGGGGCTCCATGTTGAGGCGGCTCAAAGAGAGCTTCTTTTCCAAGCCCCCCTATGGCAGAGATGTCTCTATCCTGGTACAAAGCCCACACTCAGGGCCCCCTGTGAGGGCCTCTCACCCTGTCATCACTCCCAGACTCCCTGCCCAAGGGCCACATGTCCCCTCCTAGGGCTGAGGTGAGCCAAAAGAGACTGCTCATAGATGGAGCTCTGGTACCAGGTCTCCCTGTTGTGGGAGTGACCCCTGCAGGGTGACCCTCCCCAGGAAGACCCATTGTAATTCTGGGCCTCAGGAGAACCCGCTGTGAAATTAGCGTGCCCCTGCAGGTCAGCCTTCTATATGGTAGGCCCACCCCAAAGTGGGGAGAGGTCCCGTGGAGCCCCAAGCCTTCAACCTCGCCTAGTCCTGCTCCTCCATCCCATAGCAGTGGCCAGTCTGAGTAAGCATCCAGCTTGGGCCTGTCCTTGCATGTTGCAAACAGTGGGTAGCATGACTAAAGTTGCCATAGCAATTCCTGGGACAGTGATATCAAGGGTCCCAGGAGTCCCTGGGACCAGTTTCCAGAAAGACACAGAGCTGGCCAGTAGCCACATTCCACACCATCCACTGAAGTCAGATAGGGACGCCTCTGGGTACTTCAACCCACCTCCCATAAGCATGACAGGCAAGATGCATGGCCTCTCTCCCACAGCCTCAAGCAAGCCCGTGAGAGATGCTGGGCCTCCTTTTCACACTGTCCAGAGAGACGGGAAGGGGCCAGGGCAGCCCAACTGTGGTAAGAGAGGGAATTCCACAAAACTGAGCCCCACCCCCCAACCTTGGCTCTGCACACATGGGCTGGAAGCGGGATGCAGACACTCACAAAAAGTCTGAATTCAATTTGAACCGTTTAGAGAAACCTTTCCAGTAGACAATGCAAACAGGGCTTCGGAGCAGTTCTCAGCCCTGGCTGCCATTCAGAACCTCTGCAGGTGGGGCCAGGCACCAACGTTTCTTAAAAGCTCTCCAGGTGAGTCTAGTGCACAGCCAAGGCTGAGAACAGCCCCTCTAGACCAGTGTGACCGAGAGAACTTTCTGTGACGATGGAAATGTTCTGTAATCACACTGACCAACTGGTCACATGTGACTATCCAGCACTTGAAATGTGGCTACCGTGCCTAAGGAACAGAATTTTAAATTTTATCCAATTTTAATTAATTGAAATGTAAACAGCCATATGTGGCTAGTGGCTACCGTATTGGACTGCACAGCCCTAGGCTATGGACTGGCTCTGTGGCCCTGGGCAAGTCATGGAGCCTCTAGGACTTCAGTCTCCTGGTGAGGCCGGTAAGGAACTCAGTGTCCTGTCCACAGTAGCCAGAGCAAATCTTGGTCCCCATGTCCCACTGCCCACCTGAGGGGTGTTTGGTGACACCAGCCCAAACCCAGGGAAATTGGTCAAGCTAGAAGAATGCAGGCCACAGCTCCTCAGGCCCCCTAGCAGATTTTGCTGGCTGCCCCCAGAGCATTTGGGGTGGGAAGATAGGGCCAGGTACCCATGAAACCAGAGGATAATCAGATTTCCCTCCTCCAGGGAGCCCTGAATTGTGGTGTGGTGAACCAGCCTGGAATAGTGCCAGCTATAAAATAACTGATGATTTTCATTTACCAAAGGTCACTGTACACCAAAAACCATGTGAAGGTTTAGCTACAACCCCAGGAGTGGTACAATATTATGCCCATTTTACTGATGGGGAAACTGATGCACAGAGTTACTAAATGGGGAGCCAGGATTCGAACCCAAGTCTGTCTGTCTGCAGAGTCTGAACCGTTAATCCTAACAAATACAGGAAGAAGAACTAAGAATCCTTAAATAGTTCAGGGCCCGGTAAAACTTAAGAGGGCCTCAAGACTTTACCCCCAATAGTAGGGATGGAGGCCGAAACAGTCCCAAGGCAGTGAACCCCACATTAGAAAGTCCTTTGCTGTCTCATATTTTATCTTAAACTGTCAGGAAGTTTAGCATCTACTCTTCTTTTCAATATCTTTTTAATATCAAATTAATGTTTTAATGATGGACCAGTTAATGCCAAGTCACACTGATATTCAGGAAGATGCCCCAGTTTATTCTGTGGTTTTATGACCTGCCCCCATCCTCAGTTTGAGAAGCAGGGCCTTAGAAGGGTCATTCAGCTGTTTATCAAAGGGAGTGGGACTGCCAAGACCAGAACCACAGGGGTCCTAGGGCACAGGGTTTCCAGAGTCTAGGTGCAGCTGGTTTAAATACCAATTCCCAGACCAGCCATAGAGTCTGACTCCATGGATCTGGGTGGGTGGGGCTGGGAGCCCACATTTATAACAAGCCCCTGGGATTGTGACATGGTGGTCCCAGGACCTGATAAAGAAACCCTGGGCACCATAGTGCCTGGACAGCTCCATCCTACCCTCGAGGAGCCAGGGGACTGTCACTCAGCTACGCCGCCTTGGCCAGGGACCCGGACTCGACAAGTCCTAGCTCTGACCCCAACCTGCTCTGTGATCCCATCTCAGGTCTCAGGTTCCCCATGGGTACAACAAGGACATCCATAGGTGACCTCTAGGGCACTTCTGGCCTCAATGGGTGGATGTGGTCAGCTGGAAGAGGAAGGGCTGGAGGCAATCGTAGGCAAGGCCCCTTGGTCTCCCTTCCTCATCATGCCACATTGGCCTCCCTCATGCTCAGACCCTCCTGAGGGCCTTTGCGCTGGCTGTTCCCTCTGTCTGGCTGCTCTTCCCCCAGCTGATCGCTTTGCTCACTCACGGTCTTTCGGGCCTGGGCCTGGACATCACCCCTTCAGAGACACCTCTGCTGGCCCCACCCCAGACACTCCTCATGCCTCCATCCCCTTCACTGCTTATATGCTGGAGCTTTCTCATCTATCTCCCCTGGGCTATGAGCTCTGTGCAAGCAGGGACCACACCCTGCTGATCACAGGGGGGTCCTGGGCACTCAGCCCTGGCTTGGCACTGGAAAAACTCACCAAACTTGTGTGACAGTTCAATCCCTGGAACCACCACTGGGCCTGAGGAACACCAGGAAATCCTTCCCAAGGTCCCCAGTGATGCTGGGACTCAGGGAGGGGCTTGCTATGGGGTCAGGAGCAGACAATTCTATTCCACAAGCATCTGTGGAATGCCAGCTGCGTGCCCCACCCTGTTCTGGGGTCCCCAGGCATTATGGAGGGTCATGGGGGAGGCAGATGATGAACCAGAGCC